ATTAACATTAACATTAACATTAACATTATTACCATAAAATTACCAGACACATGACAAAGATCTTGCCTGCAGTGGACAGATGTGAGACACTTCTGTAGTTTTTGTAGTCAAATTTGCTTCCCTTATTTTTATAGAGAGCCACAATGAGGACATCACAGAAGTCATCAGGCATCTCCTCTAGGGACCAAATGTCTTATAAGATGTCTTGGAATGCATGCAAAGCATTTGAGTCTAGTGCTCTGTAAATCTCAGCTGGAATGTCATCCTGCCCTGTTGCTTTATTTGGGCTTATGTTGATCTCATTAATACAAGGAAGCAGGTCTAGGGCACCCAAGACTGGCAGCTGAGAAATCTGCAGTAAAATAGCTGCAGCTGTGGATTGGCCTATAAAGAAAGTTGGAAAAATGTTCAACCCAGTGGTTTTTCAGTCCTTCCTAGTCTTTGATCAAGCTTGACATATTATATGACAATAAGGGGGAGCATCCAGTTTTATGATATCCGGTGGGAAGACAAGCCGGTGTTTTGTGCAGACAGTCAAAACCCTGCTGGAGCTGGACCTTCCGGGATGCAACACGCATTTGTGACGTGACTTTGGTGGAGGAAGAAGGCCCCGGATGCTGCTGCAGGATGCTATTCATCTTTCTTTCTGGCATAGCTAGCTCACCCCCTGTAGTGCGCCTTGGAAAGTATGTGAGCGTTAACAGAATGGTAGTCTTAGGTAGCCAAACTACCATGTACTAGCATTGTAGTCTCCTGGCTAATGTAACATCACCATAAGCTAAATAAATAAATAATGGCAGAGAAGTTGGAGAACTTTTTGGTGTCATGCATGATTGCCAGTCTGGGTAGGCCTTGCTCTTGGCGTGAAGGGCTGCTGAAATGTGTTTGCAGTTTTCATCAAACCAGTCTTGATGTGATTGGGTTTTTAGTCCAGATACAGTTGTTACAGTCTGCATAATGATATCTTTAAACTATGTCTACTTTTCATAATAGGTTCCTACAAGCGGCAGACAGTATTTCATTAAGTACATCTTGGAAGCCTTGAACTTGATATAAGTCTTGTAGTCTACCAATATGGAATGACTTTCTGTCAGTCCTTGGTTGCTTGTAATGTAAATGGGCTATGGGTAGGCTGAGGACTGACCAAACCAGCTTGTGATGCACTCAGCACTTCACATGACATGGGTAATGGGCTTTTAAGATCGCACTGACGACATATATCTTAGGTAGGTGCCAATGCTTGGATTTGGCAGTTTTGTACTTTTGTAACAACCAGGTAGTTTTGTACTTGTTTGCAAGTGTGAACATAGTGTTTGTGATACACAGGTTGCACTCAGCATATTTGCTCAGAGACCAGCCATTGCTGTTTTGTTTTCCCACCCTGTATCTTGCAAGATTCTGTTCCAGTTGTCACTGTCTGTTTCCACCCTAGCATTGAAGTCTCCCAGAATGATGTATTTATCGCTGCTGGTGGTTGTTTGAATAATCTGGTCCAGGTTGTCGTAGAAAGCTTCCTTTGTCTGGACTTGTGAGAGTTGGTACATGGGCACTGAGAATGGTGAGAGTTGCTGAGTAAAAAGCAGAAGTTCATTATGCATTCAATATTCCAGTGGTTAAAGTTGGGATGTTCTTCAGCAGAGCAGCTTTGATTGCAAAACATCTGTTCTAAAATGCCTTGGCCTTCTCCCCATGTATGGACTCAAAGGGGGAGAACCCAAGATATGGGTGCAATAGAGCTCGCTAACTAAGGCATTGAGGAAACATCAAATCCGAGCTGTTAGAATATTTGGTTAGGATATACTTTCCTAATTACCGCATGCTTCCTATCCACATTCTGATTATCTGTTCCTTTTGTT